GATTGTTAAAATGGGCTCAATGAGCACAAATCCTCAGGTACCTCCTGCTGTTGCCACCAGATGGCGCTCAGACATTTGCAATCCTTTAGAATTTACTAAAACCCCAGCTGTCTTGAGGAATCAGGCTTCCACTGTCACAGTCATTGCAGTACATTACGCTCCATAGACATAGTACCAGGACAGGTAAGTCCTGGATAGGCACTGGGTGACTCTGCCTCATGAAAAAAAATAATCAAATGTGGACAAAGGTATTCCTAATCCAAGAGGCAAAATGTCATTATATATACAATTTTGGGGCAAACTTGCTGGGAAGAGCACAAGAAGCACCCAGTTTCTTCAATTAACTTCTCAAAGTTTTCTAAGAAGTAATCAGAATATCAATAAAACAATTATAACTTTTTTTTTTTGCAATTACAGAATGGTATTCAGTTAACAAAACAATTATTTTATATAAGCTGTATCAGAAATAAATGAAGGTGAAAAACTCCGCCCCCATATGAAACTAATCAGTGTGGAGCCCTCCCTGGTGGCACAACAGGTTAAAGCAGAGTACTGCAAAGAGAGCCACCGCCGCTTCAGTGCATGTTCGATCTCTGGCCAGGGAAGTGACCCACAAGGTGCAGCAGACCTCACCTGACCCGCCCACTTCTCCCCTCAGCAGTGTATTTCAGTCAGTCTGCCTGTTCTGCTCCCCACTCTGTCTCTGGTGAATCCTCTCACCGCCCCTGCACTTCTGGCCTGTGCCCCAGTTCATATGCATAAATAAATACATCTTTAAAAAGAAAACTAATTAATGTTGTGCACCAAGAAGACCCACACTGTGCCAGGCGAGGTGAGTGACTATTGAAAATACCACCAGGACAGGGCTAGTTAAAGACATTTTCGGTAGTGTATTAACATACAAAGTGCACTGGACAGTTTAAAAATAAATCTGGTACAGACTTACATTTCAATTTTTCTTCTTTAAAAGGAGTGAGTTGTCTACAGAAAGGTAGTATATATCATTTAGGAAACTAGAGTCTAAACTAATGACATTTTTAATTGAGGCAATTTAAAAAACTCTGATATTGCACTTTATATTGATTATTTTTGCCTACATTATGGTTTGCCCTTTTGTAAATCAAATAGACATGAAAGGGAGAAGACACTTAAACATGATATAAATTATTCAACTTTGCTGAATTTGACTTTTTTTTTTAAACCCAAACTCATCCGTTAGGATCAGATGTTTATTTGTTTAGCAATTTGGAGAGCAATTTGATAATTCTGTGTTTTTGAGATTTTGTTCTCTTAAAATGCCGGTGTTTTAAAATAGTGAATATTCATGTAATTTTACAAGCTTATGGTGGAGTGCTGTTGTGTTATATAATTTTGAATTGGAGTCTTTCCATTTGCATCTGTTTATGTAATTTGAGGAGGAATAGTGAACATTTGAGTCCTGGATCATATTCATAAACTAATTGTGAAGGTTTTAAAAAAGGAAATGAAAACTCTAAGCAAACTCTAATTAACATATGTATGTCCTAAGCTCTGCCAAAATAACCACAGCAGTTCAAGCAGTATAAAGAGTTGTGAATAGTTTATACCTTAGGTGTAATTCCTGAGACAATAGTTACTTAAGGAACAGTTTCTATGCAGGTAGTAAGATCAGACTCCATGACAAGTGTAAAGTTACCAACTGAGAAGTGATGACTTCATCGAGCACCAGGATCTGCTCAACCATAATTTCACTTTTCTCTGTAACTGATTCTTATAGGCAATAGTGGTCCACAAATGTGGTGGCCAATCAGGTATTTTGGAATAGACCACATTCATATAACTACTACTGCTGGATATTGTTATAATCATTTCATTTTACTATTGGTTATCATTGTTATTTTCTTACTGCGCCTAATTTGTAGGTTACACTTTATTATAGGCATGTATGTAACTAAGAAAAAAAAGCATAATAGGGTTCAGCACTCTCTGGTTTCAGATATCACTGGTTGTCCTGGAATGTATCCCCTACAGATAAGGGAACACTTCTGTACTTTGAATGAAGGGACATTCTTTTAAACCTTAAAACTGGTAAAGATAGATATGTGAAAGCATATCCGACATGTGAAATTATAAAATTTTTTAGTCTGAACAAGCAAGGATAAACCTATGCTTAAAAGATCTCACAATGAACAGTAAACAAAAGGAGGACATTTGCAGAGCATCTCTGATCACTGGACATCAACTGTGCCCTTTGACACCGGGGTTGGCACACTTTTTCTATAAGTGGTCAAATTGCTGAAATGTAGGCTGGAAGGCCCTGTGATTGCTATTTTCAACTCAACTCTTTCATTGCAATGTGAAGTAGCTGTGTGCAAATGTAAACAAAGAGGCATGTCTGTGTTCCAAGGAAATGTCATTTACCACACAGCCAGCGGGTGAGACAGCCTGGGCACCATCATTTTCTGTTGCCTGTGTGGAGGGAAGCTCAGGTCCATACTACTTCTTCTTTCTTGTCTCAGACTCTGGCTTCTGTAGAGTTATCTTTTTAGGTTTTGTGTCCTTTAATACCTCTTCCTGAAACTAAGTGACCACAGGGCTGGCCCAGAATAATACTTATTTGTAAGGTTAGTTTTTTTTAGAATTCAGTTTGAACAAAGTTGACAGTCTGTAGAGCAGAGGTTCTTAATCTACCTTGGTGCTGTGGACTTTTGGGGCTGGGTATTGTTATGTGGGGAGAGCATATTGTAGAATGTTTAAGTGGTATATCTGGCCTATTCTATCTCCTAGATACCACTAGCATACACTTTTCTTCCCCTTACCCCTCTCTAATTATGGTAACAAAATTAAACACTATCAAATGACCCCTGGAGGCAAAGTCATCCCCAGATTGAGAACCACTGCTTTAGAGACTTTAAGAGTAACTGGCAGATACTAAAAGTAGAAATTGGGTCATGCAATGCAGGACAGCCACCAAGATGATAGACACATTTCTTCACATGTAAGGTTAACAAACAAAACAAAAAAACCCAAAAGCCAAAAGGAATAACTAACTTATCAGCAAAAATTATATTCATCCAATTAAAAGGGATTAGAAAGTTGGTAACAGTTTGCTTTGTAATATTCTTTTAGATCATTTTATTGAAAGTGTTCCTGAAGCCAGTGAATCCAGGTAGAGGGGTCTCATGAAACTATCAAACTAAAAGAAACAGAATGAAGAGAGATATTGAAACAATCACTATTATAGTACAAGACTATTTACTTTCTCTACCCTGTGCTCCTCATGAAATCTCGAGCAGAAAGAATTTGTGCTGGCTGAACTCACTACCCTTTTCTGTGACGTGTGTGTGTGGGGGGGGGGGTGAAGGGGTAGGGGTTGGCAGTATTTTGTTTTACTTTAAGTGAATAAAAAGGATGGTTAGGCCCTCCCTGGTGGCGCAGCAGGTTAAAGCGCAACACTGGGAAGCTGAAGCCACTTCCTTAGGAGTTCGATCCCTGCCTGCCCCGGAGGTGACCACATGGCTCGCAGACCTCTCCTGACCTGCCGCTGCTCCCCTCAGCAGTGTACTTCATTGATTGGCCTGTTCTGCTCCCCACTCTGTCTCTGGTGAGTCCTCTCACTGCCCCTGCACCTCTGACCTGTACCCCAGCTCTATATGCATGGATGGATAAATTTTAAAAAAAATGGTTAATTTCTATCTAATATCTAGAATATTGTTTAGTGGGGAAAATGAACTGGGTGCAGCTTCACACAGCTATTTGTATGGGTCAGTGCTTGAAGGTAGATTTTAAATGTCAGTAAATAAACCTGGTATGTGCGTTTTTTTTTTTAAACTTTTTAAAAAGATTTATTTATGCATACAGAATTGGGATACAGGCCAGAGGCATAGCTGTGGTGAGAGGATTCACTAAAGACAGAGTGGGTTGTGAACAGGCAGAACTGATGAAGTACACTGCTGAGGGGAGCAGCAGGCAGGTCAGGAGAGGTCTACCACGCCATGTGGTCACCTCCGGGGCAGGCGGGGATCGAACTCCTAAGGAAGTGGCTTTAGCTTCTTAGTGCTGTACTTTAACCTGCTGTGCACCTGGGAGAAGCCATAAACCTGGTGTTTTAACAAGCCCACAGCATAAAGCCAGCTTGTGTTTTAGCTACAAGAGCTAACTCATCCTGATTCAAGAGTGCATTTGATTTCCATTCATCTTTTACTTCTGCCCTTATTATCTTAGAACTCATGTTTCTTCAAGTTGTGAGTTATAAGATGTGACTATCCAAATGGTTTTACAATAATGTTTTTACTCTTTGTATTATTTTGCTCCTTATTTTCCAAGCACTTAGTGTGATGTTTTCTGAATAGTGATTTAAGAGCGCTAGAAACAGCATTTCTAGTCCCGGGCTCTGTTTGTGACTTGCCCAGTAATATTGGGCAGTCTCTCTCTACCCTATTGAGGAAACTTTCTTTTTCTATAAAATGGTAGATAGATTCCTCAAGTAGCCCAAGTATGGCTACATAAGAGTCATCACTGAAACCTTGTTTAAAATTTAGATTTCTGTGCTGCTTCTCAGATTCAGATTGTGCAGTCTTAGAGTAAGGAGCTCAGGTGATTATAGTTCATGGTCATGTTTGAGGACAATCAGAGAAGATCTCTAAAGTCCTTTCTACTCTAAAATGTGACTATATGAGATACATATTTTCCTAAATGTCCCAGCCTGCAAGAAATAATTGAGATTACTGTATTATTTTGTCCACATATATATGTAGTAAAGCTATTGTTACAGCTTTACATAAACTTGGTTTGCTATAATGGGTCAGCTTATGGCATAGGGTGATCCTCTTAATCCCCAATATATGTTATAAAATGGTTTCCCTTTTTACCATATGTAGTTTCATAGCCTCTTTGCTTTCTGTCTTGGATTTAGAGAAGAAATGAATATTTGATACCTAATTTCTATGTAACCATAAAGTGGAACAAAATTAGAATTCTGTATAGCTGTTAATTGCTGTTTGTTTTTCTTTAATTTACAGAATGCTCTTTTCAGTTGCATTAGCAGAAATGAAAGTAAGTATTTTGTCAATGATTATATAAGCAGTCCACAGAGCAGAGCACAGTGAGAGAATATGATTTAGCTGTTAATAACATGTCGAGACCATGGCTTGTGTAAACTATAAGTAAACTATTTGCTGGCACCTGTGTGCAGTGAGATTCTAATAGCCCCATACTCTGAATCCTTCAGGCAATTCAAGAATTAGAACAATTCCCAAATCCTAACTGCAGATTTACAAAGCAGACGCTAGTGCTAGATGTGGAGGAAGATCATTTCCCATTTGAATGAATGGGATCACTTTCAGAAGTGAAATACCACCAACCCACCCCCTTAAGGCAGGCTGGGCCACAGCCGCCTCCCCACTCACTCAGTGGACATTGTCCACGTGCTGTAGGCTGGGCAAACACATCTGGCAGAACACAACCCATACACCAATAACCCCGGGACATGGGGAATGTGGGATAGCATGGTGGTAAAGTTCTTTGCCAGTCTAGAGGAAGGTGACATCATATCTGCAGGGGCGCTTAGAAGTGACTTCCTAGAGCTGGTAGCTGAGGTGGGCCTTGAAGGATGGACAAGGTGTGAAACGTGGAGACTGGAGGAATGGAATTCCAGGTGATGGGGAGTGGATAGCGCAGTTGGAGATGAGAAGCACCACTGAGGAACAAAGAGTTGTTTAATTAGCCTAGCAGTGAGGTATAAGATTCATTACTATCTATACTTTATCTTCTACTCTTTCTAATTGAGGCTTAGTTCAAGATTTCCAAGGGAATCTCTGGGCATGTTCTCCCACGTTGTTCCCTAATGAGGGAGTCAGGATATAGGCATCCTTGTTCTGTTTTTATTGTGTCCTCTGTCCTCAGCATTCTCCATCGCCATCTTAATTTATCCTCATTTAGGTTGACAGTGATAAATGTAACCAATTAACAATTCTTTTTTTGTGGGGGTGGATGTCATTGAATCATTGTATTGGACTCCCAAAGCCAATGTAATTTTATATGTAAATTATATCTAACTTTAAAAATGTGTTACTTATGATGAAATGAATAATTCAGCAAAAAAATACAGTGAATTTAGTAGTAATTTCAAGTCAAGACCTTACTTTCAAGACCTTGACTTGAAATAGTTATGAATTTCCTGCTACAAGAAATTCTGGCCTCCATTAGTCCAGTCCTAGTTTAGTTCATTGTATATGATTTTTTCTTATTATTCCTGGATGTCACCTGAATTTCCTGCTCATTCTCTGATCTATGGGACTGACCAGAAACCTGATTCTGATTCCTTCCACAACCATTTCTGATAAATATCAGAAATATCCTGGGTGCCATATCTTTATATGGTTACCTCGAACCAAGTACAGAGTCCTTAGCCTCTCCTTGCTCATCTTCATTGTAAATGCACATCTGCTCCCACCCCTACCTGCTCCCCTGGCTTTCCTGATACTTTAAATTGTTCCCTTTGATTTTTAAAAATACATAAATTCAGAATCATATTTTCTTCACATGTGGGTTTTACTTTTCAGTACCATGTAGGGCATATCAACTATAAGGTGAAGACTTTCAACTTAGGCACATTCTTGGAGAGATTTAAACAGTAGAGAATTTTTAGGATTTCGTTTCAAGATATAGTTACATTGTTATAACATTTATGAGATATTCCTGTTTCTGCTGGTCCTGTTACATACATGTGTATGTTATTTGGGATTTTATTTTGTTTCACTTTGCTTATAAATCTCTACAAATTTAATGTAGAAAGAAACGGTTGCAGTAGTTCTCCACAGGCACACTGTTCCCAGGTTGGGAAACAGCTTAGGCGGTATGAGACTGTACCTTAACACTGGTGCCCCCAGTCATTGCGGAAAAACAAAAACACTTCTGTCGTATCTAGAATCTTCTTACATGGAGGGAGCCCCACGTGTTCCTGGAGCTGTGCTGATTCAGTATTTGTATCCTATGACACCATTTTATTTCCCATATTCATAAAGACATCTGTTGTTCCATCATTGTGATGATGATGATGATTTAATGTTAACCAGTAGCTATTTCCATTTCAACATCATCTCCTTTCTCTCCCCCATAGTGGGCTCAGTTTGTTGCAGTTACGCAGGCCATCACACAAATTGTCGTGAATACTGTCAAGCCATTTTTCGAACAGACTCTTCTCCTGGTCCATCTCAAATCAAAGCAGTGGAAAACTATTGTGCCTCTGTTAGTCCACAGTTAATACACTGTGTGAACAATTATACTCAGTCTTACCCAATGAGGAACCCAACAGATAGTAAGTAAAATGGGCATGTGCCTTTCATTTCAATCTTTGGTAAAGTGATTCATAAAATGGAAAAAAAAAGTTTTGTATGTATCTAAAATCTGGGTCATTTGGGAAGCACCAATCCTCCAGATTGGACATTATTGTCCACCAAGAAAGATGGAGCTATTGAGAGAATGAAGATCAGACACTCTATTCTGAGGGCTGGAGAATTCATTGGTTTGGATATGTTGGAGGGAAGTTGGTTTATGACCATGATCATTTCAAATAGCCTTTAATTTAATGTAGAAAGAAAACTGTTGCAGTGGTTCTCCACAGGTGCACTGTCACCCATTGGGAGACAGCTTAGGCCGTGTGAGACTATGCCTGAAGGCCCATGCCCCTAATCATTGTAGAAACCGGAAACACTTCTGCCTGTGTCTAGAATCTCTCTGGACACTGCTCCTGCTGAGAACCACTGGGCCAGGACCTAATCTTTTGAGCTGCTAATTCCATTTCTCAGAATTTATCTAGCAAGAATACTCACAACTTTGCAAAAATACATTGTATCTGTGTATGAAGGATGTTCACTACATGGATGATAACAGAGAGAAATTACAAATAATTTACATAACCCTCAGTAGGATTTGATTTAAACTGATTAAATTATGATCTATATGTTATATAATGCTAAAAGCAACAAAAGAAAAAAGATATGTTTACACAGGAAGAAGTCCAAAATACAGAATAAAGTGATACATTTTTAGTTCCATTCATATGTTTCCACATTATACATATCTGTAGTGTTTGAATTTTTCTCAACAAATAGTATAACTTTTGCAATAAAAATATCTTGAAAATGAGAGGAGATCCTGAAACTTTTTTCCACCCCAGAATTTTTTTTTAATATAATAGTTTATTTTTACATCATTTTGTGCCTTTTTCCAGCTCAGTTGTAATCCCCATGGGCTTCCCATCCACCAGATCACCTGTGTGCCATCACCATAGTCCAGTGAACCTCCCCCCAACCCCTTTTTTTTTTTTATCCCATTTCCCACTCCACCCCCATAAAATATCTTTGGTATATCGTTGTTCATTATTATTTCCTCCCTCCTCCCCCCCATCTTTTATACTCCTGCTATGAGTGAAACTGTCCAGTATTTTTCTTTTTCTTTCTGGCTTATTTCACATAAGCATGGAGATCCTGATACTTTTTAAAATCAAAGCTTAACTCAGGAACCTGCGCCTGATGAGGTCCCCAAAACCTCAGCTTAGTTTGTGGTGTTTGACTTTAGAGAACCATACAATCAACCAGACTGACAAAAAACTAAATCTGGCCAGATGCTACTGTTTTGATTTACACTGGGATATTGAAAGGTGTTTTTCTAGACTCAGCATAGGCCAGCAATGAAAACAGAACTTAGGACATCTGGCTGTCACTACTGAAAATCAGACAATGATTGAAATGTTTGCTACCAATAACCTCCATTCATTATTTTAAAGGCAGATCTGTCTTCACTGACATTCAGGCCATACAAGTGTGCTGCTGAAGCTAAGGCATTAGCAGCTCAAAAATAAAAGAAGAAAAGCAGACAGATGCTTTAAAAGCAGAAGTAAAATCATTTTAAAAATCTGTGCTAATCCATACAGGACCTGGAAAAGAAAGCTACAGATATGCCTGGATGGGTTTCTTAAACAGTCAAAGGCATGAGAAAGAAGGCCTTCTGAATTCTATCATCTAGTAAAAATGTTCTTTCACTTTCTGATTCTTTGCAGACAATTAAAGGTGGAGGCAAATTGGTATCTTGCTAGAGGTAAAGGTAGACGCAAATAGCTATCACATTAATCTATTGTATTATTGAACTTACAACTTAATTAACTTACACTGATAATGTAAAACCTTCATATCCCAGGATCTTCAAAATATGGTATTTGTGGTTATTACAACTAAGATTAGTCATCTCTCATTACATCAAGAACATAATTCCTTTCAGGCATGTTTCTATAACAAAATAATTCCAGTTTGATCTACGATACCTTTTTTTTTTTTAAAGATTTATTTATTTATTCGTACAGAACTGGGGTACAGGTCAGAGATGCAAAGGGTGAGAGGATTCACCAGAGACAGAGTGGGGTACAGAACAGGCAGTTGACGAAGTACACTGCTGAGGGGAGCAGCGGGCAGGTCAGGAGAGGTCTGCCTCGCCATGTGGATCTCCTCCGGGGCAGGCGGGAATCGAACTCATGAGGAAGTGGTTTAAGCTTCTTTGTGTTGTGCTTTAATCCGCTGCGCCACCAGGGAGGGTCCTACGATACCTTTTTAATAACATAAAATGGCTTGTATGTGAGGGCTTACTAGGTGTGAGAAGCTGTACATATAGGGATGAGAATAGGCTCTCCATGATTAGGGATAATAGTGAATTCTAGCAAAAGGTACTATGTCCACTTTGACTTCTTGCCTGTTTGCTCCACTGCAAAGCAATGGAGCATTTGGTCTACCATGTATGCAGTGCACATTGAACTCAGGGTAGTGGTGGTTTCCAGTACACCGCAGAGTTCTGAGCAGTGTGTGACATGAAACAACTGATTATGCCACTTATATTCTGGAAATATAGGTTTATATTGCTGTGACAGAGCTGAAGACCATGCATGCCAAAATGCCTGCAAGAGAATTCTGATGTCTAAAAAAACAGAAATGGAGATTGTTGATGGCCTCATCGAGGGCTGTAAGAACCAGCCCTTGCCTCAGGATCCTCTTTGGCAGTGTTTTCTTGAAAGTTCACAGTCTGTTCACCCTGGAGTCACCTTACACCCACCTCCCTCTACGGGCCTTGATGGGGCTAAATTGCATTGTTGTTCTAAAGCAAATACTTCAACCTGTAGGTCAGTATCTCATTTTTCTTTATTAAATTCAATAGAAAAATAGCATTTTAACTAATGCTTGTAGGACTTGGAATACATGTGATATTCTTGAGATGTGTAGACCTAAGAGTTTAGAAGATATAAAGTGTTTTTTCATCCAGCAAATATTTCTTGAGCATTATGTGTACACAAAACACTGTTTTGTACTGACTGCTAAAAGCATTGTGTGTTAGGGTTTGGAGATTAGCATTGGCAAGGCAATAAATAGTTAAGGATAGTGGAAGATGGACTCAACCTTCAAGGTTATCATCAAGTAAGATTTTTGATATGACATTTAGGGGATATTCTTTTTGCTAAATTATGAAACTTTCAACTTAACCTTCTGTATATATTGGTCAGTAACTGGATTGGCACTTATGTCCAAGTTAGTGTATAAGTGTTCTTTTGGATGATATACTTAGCAACAAAAATAGAACAATATAGTGTAGGATGGAGAAAATACAATCTAGAGACAAGAATAAATGGAAATAACTAAACTAAGGTCATGGTAAAAAATAGATGAAATAGAACTTTGCTTTATTAGAGGTATTTTGAGCAAAAATAGATCACACAGGACTAAAATATCCTGAAATGAATATGACATACTAGGAATGAAACCATCTTTCTTGTGGTTTCTCACTTGGATGGACCTTTAATGATCTGTCATAGGGGCAGGAAATAGGTAGAAGGAGCTAAGTGCTGTGGTAGATGGTGACTGAACATTTGGTAGTGGGCAGGGTGAGAAAATGTAATCTAGTAAACTTGATGCTTACTAGAGTAATGTAAGCTAATGTTACTACAAAAAAGAGAGGAAGAGGATAAAGAGGAAAATCTCAACAACAAAAAAATTGTACTTAGAACAGCTTGCCCAAAGATATTAAAACTTTGTAAAATATCCGAAGAAAATTAACAGAAGGGCTTAAAGAGAAATTAAGTCGGTCTTGTAATTAAGAAAATTGAACTGCTGATAGGAGTTAATAAATATATTCATTCAAGGGATGCTGAGTGATTCTTTTAATGTCCGTAGAAGAATTATGTCCCAAAGCCACTAGAGATTAGAATGAAATGAATCTGCTCTCCCAGAATAACTGCATAACAAATGCTATTTGCCCTCTCTTACACTGAAAAGGTTTTTTTTTTTTTTTTGATATGTGAATTCTTTCACTACATCTTATTTCATCCTCTGAACCCTTAAAACATTGATTGATGTCATCTTAAGGTAGTTCCAGTTTGCTTAAGAAAACTAACTCTGAGATGTTAAATGACCATCCAAGGTCATATAGTTAAAGACTAGAGAGAGGACTGGGTTCCAGATGAAAACACTGATGTGACTTGATCTCCACATTCCTGTGGTGTGTACCCTCTACTGAGAGCAAGACCCTTATCTTTTTGTTCACCACTGCATATCCAGTGCTTTTAAGCAGCACCTCAACAATAGGCTCTGTGCATTTGGGTAGAGTAACTAAATGAAACCTCTATAAGGTACCTTCCTCCTGGTGTAGTTATGAGTCAAATAAAGTGTGACAGGAGTGAAGAATTTTGCTTTTGTCTTTGCAAATTTTAGCAGTATTAAAATGTTCTCATGCATACGTTTATGAATGAAAAATTCAATTTAGTGAAAGCATTTTGGAAATAATGCAAATATTATGATAGCTATTCATTTTAAGCTCATGTAATCAAATACTGAAAATAAAAATGGCATGTGTTAACTATAATAGTATAGAGCAGCTTTGGAATTCATAAACCTTTACGTTTAGGATGCTTTGGTATTTCTTAAGGGCTGTAAGTAGTTTTGGAATAGTTTTTTAGGAAAACCAGTAAACTCTTAAGTCTGCAATGTTTCTTAAAAGAAATCTGAGATCTTTGTTACTTTTACCTCCTGTGATTAAAACAGAAACATAGTGAAATATATCTTTGTGGAGATAAAACCAAATGTGTTAGCTTACTTTAAGAAAAGATAAAACAGAAATCAGAAATGTTTGTGCCAAGAATAAAGATTATCATTAAGCATTAAATTCAGCACTGAGCTTTCTAGGAACCATGACAAAAAGGAAAGAGATGAATGATAGAAGAAGCCCCACTGAAAGATGCCTTTTTCTGGGCCTGCATACTAAGTGATCTCAGTTTTGGGGGTTTTGTACCTTTTATGTTCTAAAGTATAAGTCATAGTTTTTTAACTTAATGCAAATTAAATATTTATTCATTTGGCTTATTTATGTTTCTGCATTTGTACTTTTGTTTCAGAGAACTTTGTACCAAACTTTATAGCATGAGCTGGGGCAATACACAGAGTTGGCAAGAGTTTGATCGCTTTTGTGAATTTAATCCAGTGGAAGTGTCCATGTTGACCTGTTTGGCAGATGTTCGAGAACCTTGCCAGTTGGGCTGTAGAAACCTTACTTACTGTACTAATTTCAACAACAGGTAGGAGCAGTGAAGATATTTTATCATTAATTATCTTGTTATTAAATAAGTAAAAATACTACTTTAATCCAATTTTGTTCCTACTAGTTAAAAAGAAGTACTGTCTTTTTATGGTTTCATTTCTCACACTATATTCCTGGTAAATCACCTCTGGCAAGGAAACACTTTAATGAAGTCCCTTCTAATCTAGAGATAATTTCAAGTTTCTAGATTTCAAAGAATCTCATTTGCCTGTTGTCCTTCCCCACTGCCTTCCATGGTACTAACAGTGCAAACGATGCATTACAAAATACGGAGTTGTCAGAAAAATTGTGATGTATTTCTTCTATGTTTTTCAAGCAAAAATGGGTCATGGACTTTCCAACAACTCAATACATTATTTGGCCACGCAAATACTCTCAATGAACCATTTATTCAAAAGGACCTTCAGGATGTGCAGCCTCCACCCTGTGAATTCCCTATTTCACACAAAAATATTTTCTTTACAGAATCAATTCAAATTAGGTGTTTTCTTGAGATGTTAAACATAAGAAAAATTTGGAGCCAAGAACTAAATGAATGACTGAAGAAACAATGCAGAAAACAGCAAAAGGGCATCTAGAAGCATAGGGAAGGGTATCTCAGAGAATTTAGAAAGGGCAAGCTTTTACAGAAGAGGAGACTGATATTTTAAGTTGTAGTCTAGAGATCAAGAGAGCAGAAAGGAAGAAAATAACTCAGTTGAACTAGGAGCTAGCCCACAGGATATTTAAGTCAAGTTAATACATGTTCTGTTCTCTTTAATGTAGTCAGATTTCCACTTCAAGCAAGAAAACTGAGCTGTCTTTACAACTGGTGATATAGCATTCGCCAATAAGGATGTGAGCTAGAGACTGAGAAAAGCTGAAATCTGTGAACTGTTTGATACATAGTCCTAGGTTCTGGTAAAGATGGTGTAATTTGTATCAGATTTACTTTCCTGCCAATACTCAGCACAATATATAAAACAATGACTGCTTGGAAGACGCTAGTAACTGACTAAAATAAAGGAATAGAGGGACTTGCACCTCTTTAATGGGAAAAACCATGCTGAATGAGAATCACTTAATTCAGTTTTTCCTCTTCCCTTTGCATGGGGAATAAAATTCAGGCAGAAAGCAGTAGCCTTGGGCTAAGGTATTAGCTTAGTTTTGGGGCTGCCAAATTGATACTGATATTGAAGAGAAAAATCTGAAAAAGAGGAGGTGCACAAAAGGAGACCCATGGTCTGCACACTATCCCCCCACCTTATGTCCTTGACTCCTCCTGCACTACACTAGTATAAAATGAGACTACAAGGAACCCAGGGTGTACAATCCCGGAGGCTAAAATGAGGTAAAGCACAGATTGTAGTAGTTGCCTGTTGTGGGGCAGAGTTTGGAATCCAAATTATGCCAAGTTAGAGGGACCTAGGTGCCACATTAAGTTTTTTATTGAAGACCACTCAGGCCACACGTTGTGAGTAAGGACCACATCTTAGGGTTAAGGATAAAACTGAAAGATGCCAACAAAACCTGAAATGTCTCTGAGAAAAGCAAGGTAATATAATTTAACTTGCCTGCCAAAATAAAAACAAGATTCTTCAAAGAAAAGGTAAAAAAATTTCTAATTCCACCAGATATTATGCACAGTGGACGTTGTATAAGCACAAACTACCAGAAATGAAGGGGAAGGGAAGATGTCATGCTGGGTCAGCGGGACAGGCAAATGACTGATACTGGACCTAGCAGATAAGGACTTTCAAATAATTACATGTTAACTTTAACATGATAGACAAGTTAACATTTCTACAGGTTAGGATGGATACAGGTGAGGCGATGGGGAGTTCAGGGAGAAATATGGAAATTCTTTAAAAAAAAAATCGAGGTGGAGGGAAGAGCACAGAATCCTGAGACTCACTGCTAAGTTTAGTGTCTACTCTCTCACCAGGTAGACTTGTAACTTCTCTGCTTCCTCATATATTATCTTTTCAAAAAACATCAGAATCCAGACCTAAACCATTGAACCTAGACTAGAAGTCATAAAGTAAAATAAGATCTGGTTGTGGTAACTAAAATAAGTTGGCGGGGGGGAACTTCTTAAGTCAGGTTTTAAAAAAAATTCAAGTAGAATTTCTAGAATTTAAAACTACACTAATTTAAAACTATGCTATGGAAAATAGATGGGAAAGTCCTCATCTAATATGGGTCCCACAAGATAACAATACCTAACGCCAGGAGAACCTTAGTTGCAGCGTTTGGTTTAATCTTAAAGATTTCAACGATTAGCTAATTTAATGAATGTCTTGGGTTTTTTGAAAAAAAAAAAAAAAACTCTTTTTGAAAAAGATATCCAAATAACCAGTAAGTGCATAAAAAGGTGCTACACTTATAGCATCAAGTCAGCAGCAAAGTGCAAATTAAAACCAATGGGATACCACTGCACACTAATGGAATGTCTGCAACAGAAAAGATGAACATATAAAACAACTGAAACTCTTCTGCACTGGTGATGAAAGGGTAAAAATAGCATAACTGCTTTGGAAGAGTTTGGTGATTTCTTAGAAATTTATGACCCAAAAGTGCCACTTGCAGATTAGAAACAATCTTAATCTCTAGAAAGAAATGAAGCAATTAACCAGTGTTTCTCGGTGTTGTCCATGGTCTGCCCTCCGCCCCCCCAACCCTATGAGATCAAAATGGTTTTTATAATAATGCTAAGACATTATTTGCCTTTTTCTCTCATTCTCACAAGAGTGGACGGTGGAGTTTTTCAGATGCTGTGAGACATGAGATATAGCAACAGATTAAAGGTAGAAGCAGATGTGAAAATACAGCTACCTTAAGTTAGACATAAGAGATTTCAAGTTTTTAGATTTTAAAACTAATTTTTGTTTTGTTTCAGAAAATAGTTATATTTCATAAAAGTATTGTTTATATTGACATGTAACATTTATTATCAATTACTATTTTAATAACTACTTTAAAGGTCTTTTAAGTTTTGATATATATGACAGAAATTGGTGGACAGAATCCACACAGACGAAAGCTTTTTGAGAACTCAATAATTTTAAGCATATAAATGGGACTTGAAACCCACTAGGGTAAACAAATTGTGATTCATTTATTAATGGGTACTACCCAGTGACAAAAGGGAACAATTTATATATACACCATAACCTGAATAAATCTCAAAAAGGTTTAGCTAAAGACACAAGATTCAAAAGAGCACGTACAATATGACTCCTTTTATATAAAGTTCTACAAGGCACAAGATTAATCTATAGGATATAAACATAAATGGTGAATGGTGTTGAACCCAACAGAGAACTTTCTTGCATGATAGAAATGGAAATGCTCTTTAATTGACTTGGATGTGCTTATATGGATTTACACATTTGTCAGAGCACATCAAATTATACTCTTAAGGGCCCTCCCTGGTGGCACAGAGGGTTAAAGCACAGCACTAAGAAGCTTAAGCCATTTCCACATATGAGTCCAATCCCCGCCTGCCCCAGATGTGACCACATGGCGGCAGACCTCTCCTGACCCGCCTGCTGCTCCCCTCAGCAGTGTACTTTGTCGATCTGCCTGTTCTGCTCCCCACTCCGTCTCTGGTGAATCCTCTCACCCTCCGCATCTCTGACCTATACCCTAGTTCTGTATGAATAAATAAATCTTTAAAAAAAATGATAAAATCAGTGCTTTTAATACATTTTTATATTTCAATTTTAATCTAGAGATGATAGTCTTGTCCAGAGCTTGCTGAAGTTTTTTTTTTTTAAGATCTATTTTTTTTATGCATACAGAACTAAGGTACAGGCCAGAGGTGTGGGAGGTGAGAGGATTTGCCAGAGACAGAGTGGGGAGCAGAACATGAGATGTACAGAAATACACTGCTGAGGGGAGCAGCGGGTGAGACAGGAGAGGTCTGCCGCCCCATGTGGGTCACTTCCCTGGCTGGGAATCAAACTCGTACTGAGTGGATGCAGCAGCCCCATGGTGCTGTGCTGTAACCTGTTGTGCGACCAGGGAAGGCCTAGTTTTTGAAGTTTTAACAGACTCACAGAAGTCTTTATTAAAAAGCAAACATGCATTCAGAAGCTTGATGCTAGTGTCTACAATGAATTCTGTACAGTAAAAGTTGATACCCTTTGCTGGGGTGTAGTACTTTCTGTTTTAAGAATATCAGATTTTCTTGATGCTTTAATATGTCAGGATTTTACCCATTGCTTTTCTCAAAAAAGTAATTGCCTCTTACCTCTCATTGACCCTTTTTCTCTGCAGGCCAACAGAACTTTTCAGGAGTTGTAATGCTCAGTCAGATCAAGGAGCCATGAATGACATGAAACTGTGGGAGAAAGGAAGCATAAAGATGCCATTTATCAACATACCTGTTCTTGACATTAAGAAGTGCCAGCCAGAAATGTGGAAAGCAATAGCTTGTTCACTGCAAATTAAACCCTGTCATAGTAAATCCCGGGGAAGTATTATTTGCAAGTAAGCTTCTTTCATCATAATGACCCAATTTTGGTTCAGACCCTCCATGACCTCTACCCACAGCCAATCTTTAGAGTTTTCTCTTCCACCATTTTCCCTTGCTGATATCTCCTCATACTTCTCCTGTGCTTGAAATATTCTTCCCACCATCTCCTCTCATCACTACCCATCCTTCTCAGGCCCTCCCAAGTAAGTCAGGTGTGGCTTAACTGCAGGACATACTCTGAGGAATGCCTCCCTAGGCAGCTTGGTTCTTGCACAAATGACATAGAGAAAATCACACAAACCTAGATGGCACAGCCTGCTACACAACTCAGCTACATGGTCCACCTGCTTGGACCTCTTTCTTATATGTGCAGTCCGTCTTAACCTAGGTTTCTCAGGTTGATAGTATTCTACACCTTTATGCATATTTCTGTTAAGGAGCTTAGTTCAAGAAATATTTATTGAGTTACTTCAATGCACAATTCTGTTTTTATATTTTATTTATGTACTTGTAGTATCCTCTGTTAGATGCTCATCTTCTTGAAGAGTTTATTCTTCTTTGTCCCCCCCCCTTTTTTTTAATATATATCCTCTTTCCTCTTTTTCTCTTTTTTGGGATTAGTATAATCCTGACACACAGCAGGTATTCTATAAATGCTGAATGAAGAATTAGCATAATCTTTAGGGCCTATTCCTGGTAAACATTTTCTAAACAGCTTTCCTAGAACGTGTCAGATGAAGTTAAGATGAAATCTGCTGTGGTGTGTAAAACCAAAAGCATTAGTTATACCTGATCTGTCTTGGCTACTCTTTATGCATGTTTTTTACAAAACCAAGTTAATAGCCAACCCCTAAGTTGGTGTGTGACTCAGTGCTGCTGGCCACTTGCTGACTGAAGGTCACTGCATCCATAAACAGGGACCATATCTGTTCTCTAGCATGATTTCGGGTTGTGAGAGGTACTAAGAGGTACTGAGCGACAAGCAAGAGGCAACAGAGAGGACATTGACACCTGGCATCAAAAACTTATGTGAAAGGAATTAAATCCTATTGAAAACTGGGAATTTTTTAAGTAGTGGGCTTTCCATTGTGATAGGCCAACACCTTTTTGTTATTAACTAAAAAGGTATTTTGAAAGAGAAAGAAGGGGAGGGCAAAAAGAAAGGAAGAAGCAAGCAAGTATGAGGTCCTGAAACAAAGGCTGTGTGATCTTACAAGGAGCAAATCAGATTAGTCTAGCTTAATTTCCTTTTAAAGGTGAAAAGTCACACTGATGGCAGGAACAGAGCCTACAAGGACAAAATCTGAACAAGTCTTTGATTTTAGATAAGAGAAAGTTTGGGATGCTTTGGTAGTGAAATATATTGCATACTGCTCAGCTTGAGGTCAGCTATAACTCCTCCTCTCTTTTGCCATACTTAGATCTAACCCATTGAAAATCACTGTTAAGTTATGAAAATTACTTTCTGGAAAGCTTCAGAAACAGAGCTGATACTGGCTAACAACATGATAAAGGGGCTCCTTGAACCCTAAATTTGTGCATGTTTTTCTTTTCAAGATCAGATTGTGTAGAGATTCTCAAGAAATGTGGGGACCAGAACAAGTTCCCTGAAGACCACACAGCCGAAAGTATTTGTGAGCTTCTCTCACCCACAGATGACCTTGAGAATTGTATACCTTTGGATACATACCTCAGTAAGTACAGCAGATTCTCAAATCACGTGTTTCATTCAACTGTTTTGTGATACGTTGCTGAGAAAAATAAATCTCAGCTAACATTTCATTTCATTTCTAATAATCTCTTACAAGGTCAAGTGAGAACTTACTGTATGTTGTTTCTTTAGATTTTGAACACTTCTCCCTTTTATTGCCACATTTAATGTCTGCTTTGAATGAGCACCAAACTATTGAAAACATGTGGTTTAATGATCCTATCTCAGTTGCATATTCTATTTCATCTGCTTGGTCTTTTTGGCCAGGAAATAATTGTCATCTTAATATATATCAGCAGAAGTGATTCTCATTATCTGTCTGAGGAGGTAGTTAAATAGTTGTTAGTGAATCAGGGACCAGCATCCTCTGATAACCAGCTCATGTCATTGCTGTTTCCTGGTCATGATTGGACCAGGAAATGAAAATTCTCCAGGGAGTCTTCAGTTTTTTTGTCCTTAGCATATCAGTGGCGCTGAGCCAGGCGGTGGCTTGGACTTTACCCACCAAATAAAGAGCAAGGAATGATGATCTAGGTTAATACATGAAAATGGAACTTCTCTCTACCAAATACTCCTACAAAGACCTAGAAGAGTAAGTTGTTTCTCACTGGGGGATCCTGGAGCTGAGCTTCCTGGCAGAAGGTGACTGTGTGTGATGGAAAACAGGGTACAGCAAGCGTAACTCCTGGACATCAAGTAGTTAAGGTAAGAGGAATATTTAGACCACCCCCAGGCAGCATTTTTGCTGGCTGGAAAGCCAGTCAGTTCACTTCCACTTGCTTTGTTTTCCTAAGTCAGATAGAATTAACTTCAATTATGAATAAGAGAACAGTGGATAGAGGTAAAAGGGAGTTCAAAAATAAGTAACCTAGGGTGTCATAGTGGCTTCATCATCAGAAATCCAGATTTCTTTTATCTTTCACCACCATCCTTAGTACTTGGTTTCAGTCATTAAGATTACTTCATGTATTATCACAGCATGGCTACTGAATTCTAGCCACCATGTCTTACTATAATGGAAAAACACCCTAGTTATGAGGGAAACTGGGAAGATCATGTCTGTAGCTATGGACCTATTGCTACCTAAGTAAAACTGGAATTCTCTTAGCAAGCAGGAAGAGAAGAGTGGATGTTAGAGTTGCTGCTATTATATACAGTAACAGGAATATCTGCCACATTTCCTCATGATCAACAAATTATGCCCCTTAGTCTTTGTGACCAGTATAGCAAAAAACAGAACATTAGACTAGAATTATAGATCTGTATGACATGAACTGATTGTTTTTTGAGCTTCAGCTCTCCTATTAATAAAAGAATTGTGCTGGATGAGATGAACTGCAAGAGCTTTTACAGCTCTATTAGCCTGAGAGTCTGAGTCTGGCCTAAAATCAATACGTATTTGAGTTTTAATACTCTAAGTATCACATATACTTTATATTAAAGTTAGACTCTTCTTTGGTCATTATTTCACAAGTTAACAAATATAGCCATGGTATCGAGTTCCTCTTACCTTAATAAATGTAACATTATCATATATGGCACAAGGTGCTAAATTACCCCGCTTAGATGTAAACACATTAGATCGCCCTACCCAAACTGTTCCTGTCATTTCTCACCCTCTCACACTATTTATTACTTGTCATTATCTTTTTTTATTCTCACTCACACATACACATAATTTCCCAACTAGAATGTTAGCTCTATATTGGATATTTCAGTTTGTTTCACTTCTGTACCTAGAACTTTGCTATATTATGGGTAGCAATAAATGAATGAATGAATGTTCATGCTAGATTCACAGATGGCCAAGAGAATCTGAGTATTTTAATGGCTTACTAGAATTGGGTCCCTTTTTATGCTCATGAGCTCTCCATTTATTCCAGACATAATTAATGCAAATAATTTACAGACCTCTATTGCTCTTTGGGGTTGGTTAAACTGATATATATTTGTTTTCTTTTAGGGCCAAGCACATTGGGTAACATCGTAGAAGAGGTGACTCACCCTTGTAACCCTAACCCTTGTCCTGCGAATGAGCTCTGTGAGGTAAACCGGAAAGGATGTCCTTCTGGAGACCCCTGCCTCCCATACTCCTGTGTTCAAGGTGAGAGGCAGATGGGCATGGCTCTGGGATGAGTCTAGACATGTGCTACTGGGGTTTCTGTCTAGGGACAGAAATTTGGAATGAGATTACAAGGGACTTTATTTGGCAAGAGGTGCAGGGGTGGTAAGAGG